GCATTGTCAGGATTAATGGTGGTGACCTTCGAAACAGAAGATTTGAGCAGTAAGTGTGTACTGGCTGCACTGCCTCTCTTACACGCCTTAGCCCTGATAGAGTGCATTCAATTGAAATGCTTCCAACAGCATGTCTGTGATCTCTTGTGTACTGGAAAGGAGTATTTTTTGCCATTATATACTTTTTAAAAATTTAGTCAAACTCAAGGTAATTACTACCATTAGACTGTATTTCAAAATACTCTCTGAATGATAAAGCTCTTTTAAAATATTATGGAAAAGTTAGGCTTTATAATTTTGCTGCTTCCTCATCTTTTGGAATATTGACCAGTGTGCTCATTTTTATTATACTTTAACTCATACTTCAACTTTGCACGTAACATCTCAGTACAAATAAGCAGAGAAAGCTCCTTTGAAACACAATATTGTGTTATACTCAGATTATCTTTATACTGATTCAAGCTTTTATTCAATTAAAAAAATAAAAATTGGCCAGTTCCTATAAAACAAGGCATGAGTGATCAGAACTTTTAAGTGTGGGGTGAGACCTAACTGGAGAACTGGTGTGAGATGGAGCTGCCTCTCAGCTGGTCATGGGGATAGCACTGGGACCTGCTGCTTTTAACCTTTTGAATCATTGAAGCTGGATTGGTGTTCTGGAGATTTTTGCATACACAGACTTGAATTAATTTTGCTGATAAGTAATGAATAGTTGCTTTCTGTAGTTTTCTAAGTTTATTTATAAAGTGCTGCTTTTAACCTTTTGAATCATTGAAGCTAGATTGGTGTTCTGGAAATTTTTGCATACACAGACTTGAGTTAATTTTGCTGATAAGTAATGAATAGTTGCTTTCTGTAGTTTTCTAAGTTTATTTATAAAGATATTTATTTCTTTGAAAAATCAAATGGTCTCTCTATAAGGAAATTTTATATTTTTTACAAGTTGCATTGGATAATGTTGTAGGGAGGAGGTTGGATTTGATTTCTATTAATATTGAAATTATACCTCCATTGTACTTAAAATTGTTTAATGATTTACAGTTGCAAGCACAGTATTTTATACGTAACTATAGATAATTTTGCTATTTTTATTTAGAGAATGAGAAATTTATATTTGGAGAAACAGCTATGCTTATATCTGAGCTTGCAAACTTGATTGATTAAATGGGTTATTAGAATTTTGCTGTTCAGTTTGAAGTCTGTCAGATCTTATTGCTTAATTAGTATACTTAATTAAGCTCATAATATCTTTTAGTCTGCCATTCTTAATTTGCTAATTTTCTCTTCCTTCTCAAACCCAGAGCACAACATATGTTTCGCCAAGCCATGCGTACACCCATCATTTGGTTCCATGTGGTTCCTGCAGCAAATAAAGAGCAGTATGAACAGCTATCTCAAAGTGAGAAGAACAATTATTATTCTAGCCGCTTCAGCCCTGACAGCCAGTATATGGATAACAGGAGTGTGAACAGCGCAGGGCTTCACACACTGCAGAGAGCACCCAGACCGAACCAGCTGCCTGAGCAGACAGACTCAAACCCACGACTACCTCACAGTGCACACCCCTCTGGAAAACCGCCCTCAGCTCCGGCTCCAGCTCCCACACCACAGAATGTATTTACTACAAATGTAAGCAGTGGTTATAACACCAAAAAGATAGGCAAGAGGCTTAATATCCAGCTTAAGAAAGGTACGGCCTATCTTGTTTTTGTTTTTTGGAATTTATTTTAAAAGTCACTCAACTAACCAATAGCACTCAAGTTTTATCCCATTATTATGTGAAAGAATTGAGATACTTTTTTAAAAAAAAAGCTACTTAATATATTTTAAAATTTATTTTTATCCTTTTCAAATTCATTTTTCTATGTAGAAATTGAAATGTGAAAGTTCAAAGAATAAGACTTTAAAATTTAAGTTTGCGAGAAAAAGGTAGCAGTTACCCCTGCAGTAAAATTTTTGGTAATGAATGAAAATGGTCTTAGGACATTACTATTATAAAATAGTAGTGAGGATTTGACTTTATTGATTGACCCACTTGCTGTCCAAAGACAGCTCTCAAAGAGGACTTTAGAGGGTGTCCACCTCCAGCCCAGTGCTTTGATGATGGGGAGTGACTGATTTGGGCAGGGCTGTCATGGTTCGTGGTAGGTTGCTGAGAAGCCAGTCCATTGCCTCTTTCTCTGCTGCTTTTCCAGAATACTACATTGCTTCCCTTTCTTAAGGGGATGTGTGAGGTTGTGATGGGGATTGCTAGTTCTTCATACACTTTGTACCATTGTATTTAAGTAGCCCCTTCCCATAGATGGTGGATCTGTGTGTACTGGGAGCATGCTTTTCCAGTTCACGTCCTCCATGGCTTAGAGAAAATTGCTGGACTGGACTTCCTGATTTCCAACCCATGTTCCCTCCAGGCACTGAGAGACACTTTTGCTGTTCATCATCAATTTTAGCTGAAGTCTTTGGTATCTTTTAAAATTATGTCTTTCAAAATGGTGTCATTATAAAAAAGATTTCTCCTTTTATGAGCTTAACCAACTCCTGCAGTTGGATGGAAATGAATCCGAAAGAGGTTGGGTGATTTCTTCAGGTATCGTGGCTGCTGGCAGCAGATTCTTACTAGAATGTTTTCCATATCCTGATATTCAGACCATTGTTTTTTTCTATTTGGGGTAGCATTTACAGGGTTGTAAACTCTGAGACTGCAAATTCCTTTCTAAATCATATTCTTTCATTGAACTTTATGTGAACCACAAGTTATATACATGGCAGATCATTTTCGCCTTCAGTAACAAAGATAAAATTGGGGTTTTTCTGATCCCTGGCACAGTCTTGCCAACCAGTGGTTTGGTGCTTAGAGAAGAGGGAGATGGAAGAGGAATATGGCAGGGGGCAGTGAAGGGAAAGGAAATGATTAACAAATGAGTTCCAAGTGGCTCATTTACATGGAGATGCGCGGCCCTCGCTTTGCCTGTCGCCAGTGCCACCAACAGACCAAGTGCAGGTTAACTACCTAGCAGGAGACAACTTGGGTATATTGGGGCTTAATCATTTCTGATAGTAACAGGTTACCATATGCACCATTTGGACATAAACGTAAGCCAGACATTAAGAAGCCAAACTGATCCTTCTCCAACAATTCAACTCAGGTGAAAAACCAGGCTCCTCGCGTGTTCCATCTGTGTAAGTCCTAGTCTTAGAGGCCTCCCATGAAATGTGGGAAGTTCTGTGACTGTACTAGAATGAGCTTCTTGTCTCACTCCCAAAAGGAGAGGAAAAGAGAGGAGAGGAGGGAAATTCCATTCAGGGAATTTGTTTCTCTGCGCATGGCAATCCTCTACTAATGTGCTTTGAGTGACAGCAGTTTTTCGAAAACTGGGATCAACTCTTAGTACTAAAAAGAGAAGCCTTCAGGATAATGATCCTCTGGCGTAATTTTGAAATTATGTCATATAACATGACAAAGTAGAATAGCCTCAGTGTACTTGCTTCCATAATTATGATTTCTTAATATTTATTGCCATTTTGGCATTCTCAAATACGCTGCTCTTATAGAAATTAGCTTTTTAATAAAGTCAGAGGAGAAGGTCAGTAATCTGTTTCAGTCAGTGCAAAATGTTTTGTTGGCTTTGCTAAATGAAAATTGATATCTATTTATCTTTCTTTTAAAGGTCATTGCTTGAACTTTTAGCTTACAGATTTAGGGGTTATTGCTGATATTTTAATAGTATTGAAGTTCATCTAATAGCCAGCCTTTGTAGTTCATACAAATTAATATTGCAAAAGGAGAATAATTTAGAATTCTTTCTTAATAAATGTTATTGCAAGTCATTAGAGTTCTACGAAAGCTCAGAGACATATAGAAACATCACAGCAGAATAATTAAGATTTCATATAGACAGTATGCCATTCAGGTCTTCGGCACAGAAGATTTAAGAAGTTAACAGTCCAGGCACATTAACGTGACTTCAGACTAGAAGTAAATGCATGTTTCGCTTGAACTTGAGAATATTTACAGTAGATTTTATTACAGACAGAATTATCGAGTGTGTTCTTAGCTACATTATGTTTCTTTTTTAACCCACATTTTTTTTCTATAAGAGTGAAGAATGCTGATTGTCTTTGATTAGAACTAAATACAGATATTTTAGTAATGATGATTGTATGAAAACTGAACAAGCTATCATTGTAGCTAGCATATAATATTATATTACCAATTATTGTTACATTTAAGATTTTTTAATGAAGTAAACTAAAAACCTAGGGTGTCAGTGTTAAACTTTAAACTCAGTTCAAAAGGAACTAATGTGCTTTGAGTGACAGCAGTTTTTCAAAAACTGGGATCAACTCTTAGTACTAAAAAGAGAAGCCTTCAGGATAATGATCCTCTGGCGTAATTTTGAAACTATGTCATATAACATGACAAAGTAGAATAGCCTCAATGTACTTGCTTCCATAATTATGATTTCTTAATATTTATTGCCATTTTGGCATTCTCAAATACGCTGCTCTTTTATAGAAATTAGCTTTTTAATAAAGTCAGAGGAGAAGGTCAGTAATCTGTTTCAGTCAGT